TTAATATATCGGCAAGGATTATAGAACTGTTCTTTTTTTCATATATGTATAAATTTTTACAGGAAATAAGCTTGTATTTTTTACGCACAAGTGGATGCTAATTCGGTCTTTTGACAATATGCGCTATTCTTGTTTTTCTGTCATACGTGCCTATATATATTATTTTACATAAAAAATTAATATAAATACGAATACATATAAGATAAATATGGTAATGTAGTAATAATATAAAAGCAGTGTGATTCTATTGCATAATATATAGAGTAAGAACTAATTAAGTGGCTGCTACTTTGTAAAGACATATTTGCGCACTGTTTAAAAACGTCGAACTTGCACACGGTCGAATAAATGCGAATATTATTTATTTTGAAAAATAGCAACTTCTATATATGTAATAACAGTTTATTATTCTAACTTGGGCATAATGATGGAAAAGAAGTGGATAAAAGCGGGCTAGATCATTTGTATTGAGGGTATGATGGGATACTTTTCAGGCTTAAGGGTTTGGCTTTTTACGTTTAAATATTCTTTTATGTTCAAAATGATGGGGTATTTTATGTAAAATATTTTAATAGAGGCTTTAGGGCTTTAGGGTGTAGGATGTAGGATTTACGGTCTCGGATTTACGATGTACGTTCTAGAATGTAGGACCTATGGTCTCGGATTTACGATGTACCTTCTAGGATGTAGGATCTAGCATCTTGAATCTAAGTTGTACGATCTAGGATTTAGCATCTACGATCTAGGATCTAGGATGTATGGTCTCGAAGTTGATAATTTTAGGGTTTAGGCTTCAGGTATATACGTTTTCAATGATCATATTAAAAGATGTATATTTTCACAGTTTCCGGGTTTATGAGTTTTAGGATTTAGGGGTGTCTTTTTTGTTTCTTCATGGGACATCCTTCTTTAGTGCTACTCCTGCCTAGTCTTCTTGCCCTGTTGGTTGTTTTACCGCTTGAACATTCTACGCACTACTCTGACCTTGATTTTATTTTTCTTCCCTTTGTTCTTGTGCTCTTGCGCATTCTGCGCCTGCTTCTCTAGCGTCCTTGTTCTTCTGCAGCAATGAGCCTGTTGCGCTACTCTTCCGTTACCGCCACTGCGTCCGCGTACACAGGTTTATGTCCGAGCAAACGGGGCCGAGTGTAACAACGATTCGACGACGGATTGTCCGAGTGTAAGAAGGACGACGATTGTCTCTGCGAGCACACGCGGCCGGGTACACGGGATTGTCTCCGAGCACACGCGTCGACGACGTAGCCGAGTGTACCAAAGGAGGAGAGATTGTCTCTCCGAGCAAACGCGTCGACCAACGCGGCCGGGTAAAGCAGATTGTCCGAGTGCACGTATTCGACGAAGTAGCCGAGTAAAGCGGTTCGATTACGGCGTTCGAGTAAACGATTCGACGAAGTAGCCGCGGGAAGCAAGGCGACAACGACGGAAGAAGCGAATTGATGTTGTTGTTGTTACTGCGGTTTGGTTGTGTACGCACAGAGAGACAGTGTGTGTGCCAGGCGTTTAGTGCACACCGGTATAGAAAGGGGGGCGGGGGTGCTTTTCATGACGCGTTGTGCGTGTACGGTAGTGTAGTGTAGCATTTTTTCTATTTTTTCCTTAGCTTTGTCTTTTCTATCTTTTCTTTCTTCCTTATTTTCCTTCTTCCTTTTTCTCCGTGTTCGACAGAAATATTAAGTTAGGACATTGGTGTACGTTCTTTGTGGGTAGGGAGGCCACAGCAGGACCTTGTCGTATATGAACTACTCATTATGGAGTATATTTTCCCTGGTGGATGTAATTTTTCTATTTGGGAACATATGTATACAGATTTATTTTTTTTTTCTTTTTTAAGTGATATTATTATCTATTCACGAGTATACCTTTTTTTTCCTGTTTCATTCTGTTTTCTCTTTTTTTTCATCAATTTTGCATGCCAAACACGGGTGGCATATATTCTATCGAAGATAAGGCTATTGCATTTTTCTGGGACATATATGGCATTAATAATTTTCCAGTACCCTGTATGTGCACAACACATTGCAACCATATTTCTTCCGGCATTAATATTATTCAGCACCGGCCACATAGTTGGACTTTTTCGTGTAGTGTACACTCATGCACTCGTGCTCTTCTGCATGAGTCGTATGTGATGAAGAAGGAGGACGTATATAAATTACAATTTAAGGGTGGGTTGTATTTCATACAGATACCACATAACAGGAATTGTGCAGGACTGTGAGCCAGAAGGTATAGTTCAACGGAAGTAGCATCCATGAGTAATGATGCAGACTATGCGGCAGTATACTATTGTTATCAGAGTTCATGCAGTGTATAGAACTAAGGGTCGAACAACATGTCTACAGCAGAGTTCGCAGGTGCACTAGTAGCATATTTAACACGTAGGAACGCGTACCAGGGTGAACACTATGGGGTAAGTTAATGTACAGTAGGAAAGAGAGGAGAACACAGTTGTTCTTTGTGGAACGCGTATAGGGCGAACAGAAGAGTATTCCTATCCATAGAATATGCTTATGGATGGTTTTGCATGGTTCAGTCAGTATAATGTGTGGGCTGGAACTTGTAATATAGGTGAATCGTTTTATATATGAGATAGTGCAAATTCATTCCATTCAGCGTATATATAAGTGAGTGGACTCAGGAAAACATGTAAGAGTACAGTAAATGTATACATGTATATAGCCCGCGTTATTGATGTAAGGGGGCAAGGTGTACTGGGTGCGTGAGTAATGTCATGTAGGAGAGGTGGACATTTTTAAGTAGTACTGAGAGAAATGTCACGTGTTTGTATGAATATATGGATTAATTGGAATGTAGGATATGATATGGACAGACACCAGACAACTGTTCGAAGTGCTAAGGGCAAGATGGAAAAAAGAAGATAAATTAACTAAGGAAACGTGTGAGGCAATTTATCCTCGAAAAAGCGTGGGTATTACTACAATAAAAAGGATAGTTTGCCAGAGGGTCATGAAAGTTTTTCTATTTATGGATAGAATTGATTGGGTAGGGGAGAACTGGGCACAGAGTCGAATATTCAAAAATGAACAGGTGCTTGAGGATTATCTCAGGTGCATGTTGGGGAATGTGGCAATAGTGGAACACTTTGGCAAGCACTGCATGCACATTGAAATTGTGAAGGCTGTTTCTACTGCAATGAGCACGTTGAGAGAGGCGCTGCTACACGTCGATACTAGTAAAAAATGTGAACAAATTAATTATAATGACCTGAGAGTTGGGAGCAAGTTGGTTGGTTTAACCATGGCAAAGTGGATGGATGAATTGAGAACTGAAGGAGGCATTTCACCTGGAAAAGCTTCGGCCACAGGAGGAGTATGTCCGGGGTCGCCAGGACAACAAGGTACACGCAGGGCAGACTCAGGGCAAGGAAGTGTGACTGTTGCAGGAGTATTGAAACGTGAAGATCAGGACCAGGTGAAAACATTCATCAATAAGGGGAAGGAACTGATAGAACAGGACAGAAAGGCCTTACTGAACGAGGTGCTTGAGAAGGGTGGCGACATTAAGGCAATAGAAAAGATATTAGACAAAGTGAAGGACGGGAAGTGGCAACGGGACAACACAACAACGACGAACTCCCGTTCGAAAAGTCCACAAAACAACGGACACTCACCGGGGGAACAACAGGCGACATCATCATCAACAACATCACAAGCACCGGGCATGTCAGCCACCGGTAATACAGGTACTGCAGGTGGCCCGGCCAAACCCGCGGGCGCCTCAAAACCAGCAGTTACAGAAACGCCGGAAACCACACCATCCAAGGCATCGCCAGGTAAGGACCGATGGGCGAAAGCACGAATACGACACGAAACAATACGAATACACGGCACGCATGTGGACCGCACGAATATGCATGCCTCCACAAACGCAACGGCCACAACACGCACACGCGGGGGGGAACAGCACGACGCATCCCCTTCGTTGAGCCGCAGTGTGCGGCGACGACGGCAGCGACAGCGGCGATTGCAACAACAACATAAAACTTGTACTGCTACCATCTAGCCAAAGTTCACCGAGTTCGCCTGGACGCAGTCCATCGAGTCGACCCGACCGTACCACACCAAACCCTCCCGCCCCCTTCTTTCTGTACCACTTGTGTCCTGTTTTGTTATCATTTTGTCGTTGTACTTCCTTGCTTTATTTGCAGCGGCGACAGAGAAGAAGACAGAGCAGGAGTCCACGTCGAAAACTTCAGGGAAAGAAAAAGGAAGTGATGTGTCACAGGGGCCAAAGGGCACACAGGCACCATCATCCTCACCAACGCAGCCATCGTCGTCACCAGGGTCCCCAACAACAGTACTTCGGTCAGACGACACGACGCGTGAACCCCCCCGACCCGCAGTATCCGGCGGACCCGAGGCAGCACCATCATTACCACAGTCACCACCGGGCGCCGGAGACCCAGGCGCAGTATCAGGTCAAATACCAGGACCTGGACAACAACCCCCACCTCCACCACCACAACAGGAAGGATCAACGCCGGGGAACAATAGTAGAAAGGAGCCACCAGCATCCGCAGCCGGCACATCGGGACCTAAGGTGGACGAGGATGGAAACAAGCACAACCCACAGGTATACGCGCCGACACCAGGTGAGAAAGAGAGCAAAGTAGTTGAAAGCAAGACTGCTGAAACTCTACTTGGTACTGCAGTCATAACAACTGAGATCACCACCACAACCTATGATCCCACTGGTGCAGTGGGTATGGATACTATTACTAAGTTACTGGAGGAGCAAGAGAAGAAGGAGAAAAGTAAGGCACCTGAAACAGGAAAAGTATACACACATGTTGGAGACTGTGGGGGAAAACAGAAAAGAACAAAAAAAATAAAAAAACGGAACTAAACAGAAAAAAAGGGCAAAAAAAGAAAACATTTATATATTGCTGCAATGGGCACGCGGTGCACAAGATGCACGAGGGATGCACCGCAACCACGCGTTGCCCAATGCTCACGCAACCAACCAACGACGGACCGTGTGGTCCACCAAACAACCATGCACCGCCCAAAAGTTCAGTTTCGACACTTACTCTTCTTCCTCTGTCACTTAAATTCGTAGGTTCCCCTGACTCCCACGTCCCCAACAGTAATGCTCAGGAAGAAACAACACCATCATTATCACCAGGACCACATCTCCCGACACCGCAGACACCATCCCATGCACCCGGTGCCGCCGGTCCTGTCCATCCGGCCGGCGCTTCCGGTCCAGCAGGTGAAAAAGGCGGAAGCGGTGAAGCCGGTAACACCGTGCCCGCCGTCGCCGATGGCGGCAATGATGACCCCCCTCCTCTCAATCCACCCAAACCAAAACCCAACCCGAACCCAGATCAATCGGGTACAAGCGGCAGCGGCGGAGGCGCCGACCAGTCCTCAGGAGGTGGTGCAGATGGTGTTTCTGGTGGGGCAGGAAAAGGAGGTGCGGATGGCGGCGGACAAGGCGGTGGTAGTAGTGGTGGTGGTACTGGCCGTGGTGCAGGTGCTGCAGTTGGTGGAGCAGGTGGTTCCCCTCCTTCCAGTGGCCCTAGTTCAGACACCAATCAGCAAGATCAATCCATGCTCCCTCTTCCCTCGAAACCATTCCACCCCAAGGATCTCATCCCGTATAACCCCGCCATCATCCCAGCGGTTGTTTGTATTGGAATCATTGCGTTCTTCCTATGGAAGGTAAGTGCACACAACACGCAAGGTCACACACAGACGCACAGCGCACAAGCACGCACAAATATAACCGAGTGGAAAAAGGACAAAAACAAGTGTCCTTGCTCCGTTAATGTGCTCCCTTAAACGAAAGCCGGGAGGGGACTCTACATCAACATACTACGTGAAATATTCCCCAAAAAAAAAAAAAACAGCAACAGAATAAACCTACTAGGGACATATGTACATATATGCCGATACATGGTACATTTGAGCCAACGGATGTTGGGCTTGTGCGACACAATTTTAGATACTTGGGTACACTGGAGCGCCATGCAGATATGCAACACTAGCATAATATGCATATATTCTTGTACTTATGACAGTTTATTATTCAGGAAGAAAAAAAAAAAAAAAAAAAAAAAAAAATGGCCCTAAATCTTAAACCCCATTGAAACAATCTGGAAAAGAACAACAAACATGGTGTACAATGAATATTTATAAATGGCTTAAAATAACTCATTTCCTATAAAGCATAAATACATTTATTTAGATATATTTCATGTTCAATACAAAAAAACAACATTTATAGCGTAAGTTCTTGTGCTCGTACTAATACTCTAGGGTACATCTATTTTTTTTTTTTTTTATTTAACACACGGCATACATAAGGTCCCTCACTCATATACATTATATTCCGGCTCCTATAATAAAAAAACAAAAATCACCCAACACTATTTCTCCCCTTTCACTCACTTTTTTTCCGGCAACACTTTTAATTCTGTTTCGTTCTTTTATTATTTCTGATTTAAATTAACTACAAATTGCTAGTACAAGTGCCTGCTTCTTTTTTTTATTCCATAATAAACATTTCCATGTGAACAACAATAACAACACAAGGGAAAATAGGAACAAGCATATATTATTATTGACTTCCATTTAAGAATTTTAAACTCCCTCTTCTTCTTCAATTTTTCATTAATATTCTTAAAAAGTGAGTTTCTAAGTAGTTTGCTATATTTTTTATATATTTATATTTTTTTCAAAAAAAAAAAAAAAAAAAGGCCATGTTTACCTTCTTCTAATGTTGTAAAAGTAAGGCACCTTTTTTCAGAATTCTATTATGTATAAATGCAAAATACAAATTAGAAGTACTCAAAAAAGCCACGTCAAAAAAAAAAAAGAAAAAGAATGTACATATATAAATTATGCCTCATCATACTTTATAGTTTCCGTTTTGTAGAAACTATAAATGCCATATAAAAATGGTACATATATTTCCTTATTACACATCAGAAAGAGCACTATACTTAGAGCAAAAAAGCAAACAGGACACTACCGTTGTACATTTCCATTTTATATAAGTATCCACAGCAACATGGCACATTCGAACAACAAACAAACATCGACAAGCATCATTCCACAAGGGTCATCGCCATCCCGAAATGGCAAAACCGTTGACACATCCAGGAAAGGAAATGAAACACATGACAAAAAGGCGCATAGATCGCTTTTCTCCAAATCAGCTGCTATCCTGTTTGTAGTTGCTTGCATCTGCTTAACGGTAAGTCGACGCACAAAAGAAAGATACCATGATCACATACAGATGTAGCCTGGAATGTTTCGCGTTCGGCTACATATATGCCGCACACAACATACCCAATATTTATATGTATATTTATTGCTTTCCCCTTGTTACTTCCCCTTTGTTCCGTTGTCGTATTACCATTCCTTTATTAATACAACTCATCACTACCACTCCTCTGCGCTTCCCCTTTCTACAGCATCCAGGCGACTTCGACAGACACGAAGAGCCTTTGGCCAAATTACGCGTACGTAACAGAGTTGCCCGCAGTTTAGCAAAAATTAAAGCAATTCCATCAGAACATGAGCTTGTATTAGATCCGATGGCATTCGAACACTATGACGATACTCAACCAACCTATGAAGGAGCCTATGAAGGTGCCTACGACGATGTCGACGAACGTTATGCACAAGCCTATGCATCTCGTCCTAAACGAATATATTGTCGCGAACAATGGACGACACCAAAAAAACGATGTTATAGAGACGGAGAAGGAACTATTCTAAAAGAATGGAAAATGGTGGAGTACGAGATACCACAAGAAGTCCATTATGAAAGAAAGTGGAAAATAGAACATGATGCAACGGAAGAAGAAGTTGATAGCCGCGACACATTATCTGCCGATATGGCAGTCTCCGCGTCAGTTGAAAAGCCTAGCACATCCGTTTCGAAGGTTGGTGCACAAGCATCATTGCCACCGTCCCTACAGAATAATGTACAAAATAAAGGACAAAGTGCAAAAACGAAACAGGAGCCGCAAGGATCTTCGGGTACAGGTAAAACGGATGTGCAAACAGGACGAGGAGAGAAAATACAAATTTTGTCGAAAGTTGTATGTTGAGATGTTTCCCCCGAAAAAACGCCTCGTTCGGGAGATAGAATATTCATCGAATCATATTCCACACGCCTAATTTACAGGAACGACCGCAAGCACAAAGCATGGCAAGCAGAATAAGGCAGTTAACGTCAAACCCGGAAGAGACTTTAGTAGACGGAAATTGGCTGCATATATTCTATATAGGTACTGCAAGTTCTTCGTTGCTGCTATTTTGGTTTACTGTGCAATAATGGTTGGTGCTAGCTGTGCCGTTGCGTTTGCACTTCCAGCTCTAGGGGTTGGAAGTGCGTGTTTAACTGCGGCTGCAGCTACGAGCGGATCGTGCTGCAAAGCTGGGATTGCCATAGCCTCCACTGCAGGTGGCATGGGTATACTCAGTATGTGCTCACTTGGGCTATTCCGATGCTGCTACCGCAGGCGAAGGCAACAGTGCCGCAGAAAATGTCGACGCACACAATTGCATCTGAACACCATGACAAACCGGAGGTACTCCGGAAAAATCAGAGGTATCCGGAAAACCGAAAGCACCTAAGAAACCATAAGTTACTTTCGTTTTCTACTTCTGGTTGGCAAATTAAATGTTATGATTTTACATATGCATCAGGTCTACCTTCTTATGACTTTTTGCACTGTCTGTATGATATGGTTCATTCATAATTGTAACATATATTCCTGTGTTCTGTTTTAAACGATAATATTGTTTATATCTTCCTAATACAAATCGTTTGCGCGCATACTGCGCGGTTTGGTTATGTAATTCGTTGTGTATTGATATTATGCGGAGGGGAACGCGCTCTGAAGAGAATGTGCCCCTTCCGTATTCTACATATAAATACACATATATATACGCATATATATTCTAATATGTATAACTCATAATCTGCCACATCATACCTGTAACATGTATTATACTAAGATTATACTAGATACAGTGTGTAGTATGTACTTTTATAATGTGCAACAAGTTCTTTTCTTTTTTTGTTTTTTCTATTTCAAAAAATTTGCTCCCGGATTCTTATTTACTTCCGGCACTATATGTATTTACACAATAACACGGCCATTCACTGATGCAACATCAGCATCAGCTATTTCAACAGCGGTCACAGTAATACCTTCGCAAACGCATAATGAGTAGCATCTTGTGTAAAACCTACGGTCCTTACATATTGTTCAGGGAAGCAGATGAAGCACATATGTACATTATTCTATAATTATAAATGTGACCCCATGGCCGTCTTTCTGCGTACACGCAATTATATATATATATTTGCTTATATGTGTACATTTTTTCTCATATAATTTGAACTCCTTCTACGTGTGTAAGAGTAAATATAACATTTGTTCAATGGAACCGTCGAAGCATGAAATCTGCCAGCTATGACCCAGGGTAGTGGATGCTAAGTTCCACTCTGTGTGGACAGGTTGCCGCCTGGCGTAAGGAATAAGGTACACCACAAAGGGGCGTTAGAACTTCGTATCAGCAACAGAAATAATAGGAATGCGCGCCAACAGAATTACTCAGTGAACTTTATATTTCATCGTTAATTTTTTTGGCGCGCGTACTGAATACCCAATTTCATATTTCACAATGTACTAAAATGCATACTATATGAATATACGGATGCCTAAAATGATCAGCGAGGCACATACATGGTTGCAGACACATGTTAGACGTAGCGCCGCGTCATATTCATACGGGATGATTCCCAATTTCAGAAATGAACGCGTTAGAAGTATATGGTACAAATTGAATACACGAACATTTTGTTCTTTCAGAATAATTATTTTAAGCGCTGTAACATAATATAGAGGCACATATATTGTTCGCGCGGTTACGAAAACATATTGCGCGCGATGCTCGTAAATCTGTTTTTGTGTACGTTTCTCATGGTACATTGTATTCGTGACAGTACAAGCGCACGGCCTACCTGCACTGCGTAAATGCATCTGCACACATATTGTTAAGTTTTTCTCAGGGCTGCGGCAACAGTTTACCTTGGAAGTGCGCGTAATGTTGTCCAGGCATTCTTTGTTTTTACGTTATTTATATATTATTTTTTTTATTTCATTTGTACAAATATTTAGTTTGTTTTTCTTTTGTCGAACTTTAACTTGTTTTAGTGTTGCGTCAAACTCTGCTCTTATGATGTTTTCTTTTTTTTGTGTTTTTTTTTTTCTTCATTGGATGCAATGAATTACACGCAGGGTGTGTAAAACGAATGACTCTGGGAAGTACCTACAACTGTATGCCGGAAATCATAAAGGCACGATGATGGAATTAGAGTATGTGCATATGACTGCATTAAGTTTTAGGAGAATGGATTTCGCGATGGAATAGTATTATATGTGCTAAGGGAAGGATGAAAGGCTTTGCACAATGCAAACGAACAGTTTCCTTTATGGCTTCCCATGACCCTTAATTATTAGTCAATTCCCAGAGAAGGAGAAAAATGTAGTGTGCGGCACTCCCAAATATTGCCGTTTCCATGCCCGCCTCCGTCCCTTTTCATGCCCGAAGCAGGGTACAAAAGGCGCAAATTTTATGGATGAACGAAACAACAGCGGCGCGTGAACAATGTGTGTTGTAGGGCGAACCTAAAAACCAGCCGAAGGGAATTATTGCATTAGTTGCAGTAGTAGACTCCAAGGTCTATATTCGTGTTTACATATAATTCCAGTGTCCAATAGGGCGCGAGCGAGGAGCATCCCGCACGCAAAATTGCACAGCACAAGGAGAATGTTGATTGTTCCCATACTGTGTACCATAACACAGAAAAATCTGTGTATCCATACCATAACATGCAACACATTGAAGACACACACATATATATGTATATTGAAAGGCGTACTGCCACCGAATGACAAAGTATATATAGGTACCGCGCACTACAGTTAACAGACTGCCCGTAACATGTCCACGTGAACACAGTGAACACATGACCACAGATGGCCCCACACGTATACATATGTATGTGTATGCAAAGTACACAAGGTGAAGATATATCCTTACCTGTACCAATATCAGAACATAAAAACAGGACAGGCGGTTGCATAATCATTTCCAGCTCACTCCCGCATTGAGCCTCTTCCTGTGACGTTCTTTCTAGGACATATTCTGCGTGCACTTATTTTTTTGTTCTAAAAGAAATAATTAGACGTATTTTGTACGTTTGTACAAATCCACAATTTTTATTTCTTTCTTTTAAAGAATAATGAAATTATTTTTCATTCCTATGAAGAAATAAACATATGTGTATGTACCTACATTTTGGCGCACGCCTTCACTACACATTGCGTTCCTTTACCGAGGGGGTTATAGAATAATATACTCCCGTTCAGCTTTTTCAAGCGCTGACACTGCTGGCAAGGGCGTTAAACGCTAAACCCTAAACCTTAATGGATTGACATTTTGCTCAATTGATTGAATGAAAAGGAAAAATCATCATTACAACTTTTTTTGTTTTTATGAAACATTTATTTATTTATTATTTGTTTGTTACAAACGTTATTTTTACATTTATGAATATCCAAGTGTGAAATTAATCGGAATAGCTTTTCCGCATTTTATGGAATGTTTAAAGTGAGCATCTTTAAACGAAAAATTAATTTTGTCAAATTAATATCCTCAATGAATTAGACTGTTTGGTGCGCTACGAATGTATGCATAATGTATACGCATATGTGTATTTTTTCTTTTACTTTGTTTTTTTTTTTTATTTTATTTGTTAGACTTTTTCTGTGTTCATTTATAAAGCATTTCCCCATTTCGGTGAATATAATCGTGTTTGTTGCAAATACTTGACGGTAATTATATTTTTACATTTTTTTCAAATGATATTTTGACAACTAAATTGTACATAAATTGGAAACTCAAATATTAATCCCCTTTTGAGATATTTTTTGTCAATGTGCAAACTTATCCCAATTAGATCACTGAACTATCGTTAATTTATTTTCAATTTTTTTTGTTCTTTTTATTCCTCATTTTGTTGGAATTATTTAAAAGTGCCCCAACTTGTTAACATATATGTCAAAAGAATGAGGCAATGTGTCAACACCATCCTTTTTGTACACTTCGTAAATTTATACATGTCCCCAAATTATGGAACCACAGAGGGTAAAATTATTAATTTCCAGAATCCTCATTTAAGACATGGATGGGAGGGGGACAAATTTACTACCCAGGGCAATGGTGATGATGATGGGCATGATGACAGTGATGACGGTAAGGATGATGGGGAACATGGTCTACTACAAGGACCAGATGTGGAACAGCAGAATAGTCGAGAAGAATCAGCAGCACTACCACCCGTAACATTGCCATTATCCGGGACAACGCCGTCACCACGAGCAGATGCAGTAACACCTATACCGACAGTAGCATCAAATAATGAAATAGGAGAAGGACCAAAAGAATTACAAGGGGATAACGATAACAGCGTCTCACATGTCGGGGACATACACCAGGTCGCAGAGGACGACGCCGAGGAGAAGCGCAAGAAAGATGCCGAACAAGAGGCTGAAGCGTTAAACAAATGGGAAGCTGCCATGGATTCTGCAAGACAAAAAGCAGACGACGTCCTAAAGAAAACACGCATCCCAAATGTAGGAGACAAACACCAGGTCGTACAGAACGAGGAGGAGCGCAAGGAAGCTGAAGCGTTAAACAAATGGGAAGCTGC